GCACACTAGAGACATGCTGTATGGAACCAGAGAGTGAGCACACTAGAGACATGCTGTATGGAACCAGAGAGTGAGCACACGAGACATACAGAATTGAACCAGAGAGTGAGCGCACTAGAGACATGCTCTAGGGAACCAGAGAGTGAGCGCACTAGAGACATGCTCTAGGGAACCAGAGAGTGAGCGCACTAGAGACATGCTGTATGTAACCAGAGAGTGAGTACACTGGAGACATGCTGTATGGAACCAGAGAGTGAGTACAATAGAGACATGCTGTATGGAACCAGAGAGTGAGCACACTAGAGACATGCTGCATGGAACTAGAGAGTGAGTACACTAGCGACGTGCTGTATGGAACCAGAGAGTGAGCACACTAGAGACGTGCTGTATGGAACCAGAGAGTGAGCGCACTAGAGACATGCTGTATGTAACCAGAGAGTGAGTACACTGGAGACATGCTGTATGGAACCAGAGAGTGAGTACAATAGAGACATGCTGTATGGAACCAGAGAGTGAGCACACTAGAGACATGCTGCATGGAACTAGAGAGTGAGTACACTAGCGACGTGCTGTATGGAACCAGAGAGTGAGCACACTAGAGACGTGCTGTAGGGAACCAGAGAGTGAGCGCACTAGAGACATGCTCCAGGGAACCAGAGAGTGAGTGCACTAGAGACATGCTGTATGGAACCAGAGAGTGAGTACACTGGAGACATGCTGTATGGAACCAGAGAGTGAGTACAATAGAGACATGCTGTATGGAACCAGAGAGTGAGCACACTAGAGACATGCTGCATGGAACTAGAGAGTGAGTACACTAGCGACGTGCTGTATGGAACCAGAGAGTGAGCACACTAGAGACGTGCTGTATGGAACCAGAGAGTGAGCACACTAGAGACGTGCTGTATGGAACCAGAGAGTGAGCGCACTAGAGACATGCTGTATGGAACCAGAGAGCGAGTACACTGGAGACATGCTGTATGAAACCAGAGAATGAGCACACGAGACATACAGAATTGAACCAGAGAGTGAGCGCACTAGAGACATGCTGTAGGGAACCAGAGAGTGAGCGCACTAGAGACATGCTGTAGGGAACCAGAGAGTGAGCGCACTAGAGACATGCTGTAGGGAACCAGAGAGTGAGCGCACTAGAGACATGCTGTATGGAACCAGAGAGTGAGCGCACTAGAGACATGCTGTATGGAACCAGAGAGTGAGCACACTAGAGACATGCTGTATAACCAGAGAGTGAGCACACTAGACACATGCTGCATGGAACCAGAGAGTGAACACACTAGACACATGCTGTATGGAACCAGAGTGAGCACACTGGAGACATGCTGTATGGAACCAGAGAGTGAGCACACTGGAGACATGCTGTATGGAACCAGAGAGTGAGCACACTAGAAACATGCTGTATGGAACCAGAGAGTGAGCACACTAGAAACATGCTGTATGGAACCAGAGAGTGAGCACACTAGAAACATGCTGTATGGAACCAGAGAGTGAGCACACTAGAAACATGCTGTATGGAACCAGAGAGTGAGCACACTAGAGACATGCTGCATGGAACTAGAGAGTGAGTACACTATAGACATGCTGTATGGAACCAGAGAGTGAGCACACTAGAAACATGCTGTATGGAACCAGAG